GTAGATCTAAGAATGGTGTTGCTTGGGGGGGAGTGGCAGTGGTGTTGGTGGGAATGAGTGGTGGTGGTGGGTATTAGTGATAACAATGGTCGAATTTTATTTTTGTCGACTAGGTGGTAGAGGGGTCGAGGGTGGCAAAGGGAGACAATTACTAAATGGTTTATGGTTAGGTGGGACGGGGAAGACAATTTTTTTTCTCTTATTATTTATTTTTTGTTACAATTCTTAAACTATTTGTAGTTAATTAAATGTAAAAAGACAATTTACTAGCAGGTTTTTGGACGTAAACCGTTGATGATTCTTCTTGTGCACATATATTCAAAAGTTCAGGATGTAGGTGCTAAGGCTAAAAGTTTTAAATCTAATTGCACATTTTTTAAGGTTTGATACCTGTACTATAATTTTTCCTAATTTTTACTATGCCCACCTCTAATACTAATAAAAGGTGAGATCACATATATAGACAAAAACTTTAAAAATTTACAAAACATTGTAATATGTATTGAAATTAAATAAAATGAAGAAGTTAAGAGTGAGAAAATCAATCAAGTTCATGAAGTCAATAACTTATTTTTGGCGTAGGCTTTTTTTTTCCCTACATTTATTTTCGCATAGCAATATTTATATATTATTAAATTTGTAATTCTGAAACTAATTGATCAGTTTTACAGTTATGTATTTAGATCTATTTTTTGTTTCTATAATTTGTAATTTGTATAGATAATTATCAATAAAAGTTCATTTTTCTCTATTTTTTTTTTCTCAACTTTGTCTGTTATAATTTGTATCCATGAGACGAAAATTTCAATATATATGTTCTTTATGTAATGTATAAATTATAAACCCATATATATTCTGTACAAAATTCATATAAATATTTTCAACAAGTTCTAACCACCGAGTTTTATTTAATAGTACGATGTGATTTAAGTAATAATCATTTGGTCAAGGTCATCTTATCTGGATATTGCAATCTGAGTTAAATACCAACAGTGATTGATAATGAAGAATAATATTTACTCTAAAAGACAAATATTGACTTCAGAAATCTTTAGCACACCAAAAAATCAAATCCACCCACCCAAAATTTGAATCTATAAATTGAACGTTCATAGCATGATAATTTATCCAGAAATCCCAGCACAACCATGCTAAAATACCCCACTTTCGCATTTTTCTTCTTCTTTATTTGTCTTGAACCTACTGCTTCAGCTTCTTTTGCCGAAGCTAATGCGCTTCTGAGATGGAAAGCTAGTATTATAAATCAAAACAACTCGATACTAAAATCATGGAATCTTGAAACCAAGAATTACACCAATTTTTCTGGCCATCCAAAAGCAAGTTCAAGTCCTTGCAATTGGTTTGGAGTTTCTTGCATTGACGGAAGTGTCAATAGGTTGAACCTCACAAATGCAAGCATTCATGCCTTCCTCTACGATTTTCCATTCTCATCTTTCCCAAATCTTGCTCATATAGATCTCTCCGTCAACCGTCTCTTTGGCACCATTCCACCTCAAATTGGTAAACTCTCTAAACTTGTCTATCTCGATTTATCAACCAATCAGTTCAGGGGAACTGTCTCACCTCAAATAGGTAAACTGTCTAAACTCGACTATCTTGATCTATCAACTAATCAGTTTACAGGAACTATTCCATCGCAAATAGGACAATTTACTAATCTTAAGTTTCTTCGTTTGGCCGAAAATCAGCTTGCTGGCCTGATTCCTCAAGAAATAGGACAATTAGTGTACCTAAGTTATCTATCATTGCACACTAACAAACTTGACAGTTCAATTCCTGTTAGTTTTAGCAATTTGAGAAACTTGACCAACTTGTACCTTCACCAAAATCAGCTTTCTGGTCCAATTCCTCCTGAGTTGGGGAAGTTAACATCACTTCAGGACCTATCATTGAGCGCAAATCATCTCACAGGTCAAATTCCAGCTTCGTTGAG